GGAACTAGCTCTTGTAGACCAGGCTGGCCTCGAACTCACAGAGATCTGCCTGCCTCTGCCTCCAGAGTGCTGGGATTAAAGGCGTGCACCACCACCGCCCGGCCTGTTTAGTGTTTTATGTGCATCAGTGTTTTGCCATGTGTGTTGGGTCACATGGAACCAAAGTTACAGATAGTTATGAGCTGCCATGCGGGTGCTGGGAATTTTCAAACCCTGGCCCTCTGGAAGAGTAGCCAGAGCTTTTAACTGCTGAGCCATCTCTTCAGCCTCCTGTCTAGATCTTGATTCAAACAAACTGTTAAAAACAAAACGCAATCCCAGCACTCGGGAGGCAGAGGCAGGTGGATCTCAGTGAGTTCAAGACCAGCCTGGTCTACAAGAGCTAGTTCCAGGACAGGCTCCAAAACCACAGAGAAACCCTGTCTCGAAAAACAAAAAAAACAAAACAAAACAAAAAAACAAAACCCAAGAAAACCTGAATGCTGTTACTTCATATTAAAACTGTTAGCTGTCTTAGAGGTGACCCATCTCTAAGTGGAATATTTAGTGGAAACCGAGTAAGTCTCTACAAGACATAGACGTGAAGACTGTAACCAGACTTCAAAGCAACCCACTGGCACAAGACTAAAGTCAGAGGACAGGATATATGGCTCTATCAGACCAGCATTATTCTCTTTATTTCTGTGTATTTGTCACAATTTCCATGGTAAAATTATTTCTTCAAAATAAGAATTGTTTTGATACTGTTATATCAACTCCTTTCTTACAAAGAGTTCCATGGAAGAAAAATAGTATTTTGGCTGTAATACACTGACTAGTGAATTAAGTTAAACTATATGCGTTATTACTTAGACATCATCTTTAAAGACTGTAAGTTACTGCAGGTTTGTGGGATCTATGAAACCACAGAAAGTCAGACTTGCCATACAACAGCAGAAAACTGATAAAGCACGCGGTCGGCTTCTAACTGCCCTATCTAGGAGCTCAGTCACCTTTTCAGCAGGTCATTTGGTTCCTGGGGAAATAATGCTCCTTGGCCAGTGAAGCAGAGGCACCACACGTGGTAAGTGTGCAGGCAAGGATTCAACTCGTTCCATTACCAGTTTTGACCCTGAATACGTAATTCCCCCTTTGTCCTCTACCTTTGCAATGAAGATTTATCTCCTAATTGCTGGCATTAGTTCACAAAGATTTTCTTTCTTGGTTGCATGTAATAAAAATAATGGTAGATTGTATCCAAGATTCAACATGGTATACTACTTTCCAATTTTTGTTTTAAGATTATTCTGAAAGACTAAATTTTTCCTCTCTCTCTCTCTCTCTCTGGCTTTCTGAGACAGAGTTTCTCTGTAGCTTTGGAACCTGTCCTGGAACTCACTTTATAGACCAGGCTGCCCTTGAACTCAAGAGATCTGCCTGCCCCCGCCTCCCAAGTGCTGGGATTAAAGGCATGGGCCACCACTAAAAGACTAATTTGCAACTTAAAAATTTCAATGTCTGAGCAATTTTTTTTCTTTTGACCGAGTCTCTTGTAGTCCAGGTTGCCCTAGAACTCAGTATGTAGGCAAGGGTCACTGTGAACTCTGAAGGTCCTGCCCACACCTCCCAGATGCTAGGGTTGATGTAGACAAAGCCATGCCCAGGTGTGAGCAAAGTATTTCCAACACATCATGAAGAAATTCTGAGACAAATTAGTTTTGTAAAAAATGTTTTATCAATTCTATTTTTGTATAAAACACAAGGGAGAAACTTGGCCAATCAACACATGACCATGACCACAGGGAAAGGGACTTATCAAACTTCACAAGTCTAAAAACATACAAATGTTTCTTTTATCTTGTCTACAGCAATTGTCTATGCTTTTCCACTGAACTGTTCTTAAAGTTTCCACACAATCCCACAGATGTCCACTGTCCAGCTACAGACAGTAACGGGGAGCAGGTGGTTAAATCACTTCCTAAGCAGTTTTCTGCTGTCCCTTCTTTCCAATCAGAGATTTGTGGATGTGCGGAATCACACCTAGAATGAAATTCAAGAAGTTTTGTTAGTACACTATGATAACATTCTGAATATTTTAATGCTTTAGTGCTAAAGTAAACAAGCAATTATACAAAGGATGGAATTTATTTAAATCACCTTTCATATTTGGATCCTATTAAACCTATAGGAGCCCGGAAGCAACTGCAGCCACTACTAGGTTCTGGAAGCACCTGGTAACTCCATCTTTACAGACCGTACAGAACACTTTGGTCCTGCCAAGACTATCCTAACAAGCAACGTCTCAGGACATGTTATTTCTCTAGCATAGTTCAAAATGTATGGGCCAGTACTTTAAACCTTAGGCTTGCAGTATCACAAAAGTAAACAACAAGCTAAAATAAAAATAGCACTGCCCATGGCAAGGGGACAAATATTTACTCAGACCACTATGAGAAGAGGCCTAGAGGGTCCTGAGTTGTGGCTCAATTGTAGCATTTATGGGGACCCAGGTTCACAGCACCAACAGAACTGTAGTACACTTAACACTTGTGGACCTAAAAGTCATACGTTCCACTGACGCTGAGGATCACTGATCTGAAGGATGTTAATTAGAAATACTGTAGACTTAATAACACATACCGCCCCCAGCTATGGTAGCCTTGATGAGCGAATCCAGCTCTTCATCACCTCGGATTGCAAGCTGCAGGTGACGTGGAGTGATGCGCTTCACTTTGAGATCCTTGGAAGCATTACCTGCCAACTCTAGCACCTCAGCCGTGAGGTACTCCAGAATGGCGGCACTGTACACAGCAGCAGTGGCTCCCACCCGTCCATGGCTTGTGGTGCGAGTCTTCAAGTGTCTGTGGATCCGGCCCACAGGAAACTGAAAAAGAGACGTCTTTCTTGTTGGGAGGCACTGCAGTGCTTGAGTATAACTGAAGGCTTACCCCTGTTATGGGCAAATTTACTCGGTAGTTAATAGTCCTAGCACCTAGATGGATGTGCTACTACTCAGCACATCTTCAATTTTTGAGCAATGCAGTTCATTGTAAAAATGAGTTTACCATTCTGTTATCAATTACATGTTTAATAAAGCCCAATAATCACAATTGTATCTGATCAATTTTCACATAAAAGTCACATGACTTTCAACCTTCACCCACCATTCTCCTCTGACCCTAACTCTGTTCTTTCTCAATTTTATTTTATTTATTTATTTTGGTTTTTCGAGATAGGGTTTCTCTGTAGCTTTGGAGCCTGTCCTGGAACTAGCTCTTGTAGACCAGGCTGGCCTCGAACTCACAGAGATCCGCCTCCCTCTGCCTCCCGAGTGCTGGGATTAAAGGCGTGTGCCACCACTACCAGGCCAAGAGCTCATTCTTTTTTTTAAAAAAAAAAAATTTATTTATTTAGTATACAATTTTCTTTCTGCGTGTATGCCTGAAGGCCAGAAGAGGGCACTAGACCTCATTACAGATGGTTGTGAGCCACCATGTGGTTGCTGGGAATTGAACTCAGGACCTTTGGCAGAGCAGGCAATGCTCTTAACCTCTGAGCTATCTCTGCAGCCCAAGACCTCATTCTTAAGGAGTGTCTCCAGAAGCAATTATAATTTTAAGAGCACAATCAATGCCTTATTTCTGTTTCGTAATGTTAGTAAGGTGTGCTTTCTAGCATGTAGCAAGACAGCCAAACCATCTCTTACTGAGCTTTAGAGACCACAAAGAACTGTATTTTAAACTTATTTTATGTGTATGGGTGTACAACATGTGAGCCTAGTTCCTTCAAAGGCCACTGGATCCCCTAAAACCGGAAGACAGTTGTGATCTCCCATATGGGTGCTTGGAATCAAACCAGGATCTTCTGGAAGAAGTCAGTTCTCTTAATAGTTGAGCCTTTCTCCTGTCCTACAATGAGGCCTTTAAGACAATGTCTTAGGAAGGGTGGGTTGTGCATGGTGCACACCTTCGATCTCATCCCTGGGAGGCAGAGGCAGACAGACTTCTGAGTTTGAGGCTAGCCTAGTCTACAATGCAAGTTCCAGGACAGCCAGTACTACACAGTGAAACACTGTCTCAAA